GAATTTCCCAATTGTGTTCATTCCTTGTTTCCTTTATATTCTGATAATTTTGGTCATAAAAAAGAGCAGTAGAAGTAAGTACAGACCCACACATATAGCAAGACATATATTTTGAGTGGAGCAACTTCGTCAAAAATAATTTTGAGCTTCAAACACCCAAGACTCCGATGCAACAAAATGTTTCGAATGATATTCGATGTGTCAAACTTATCAGAAGGGACAACTGTAAAAAATCGATCGAATTGACGTTTTCTGGCGATGAAAGGCAAGTTTCAGTTGCTTTTGCTGTAGTGAACCTCAAAATTATTTTTGACGCGGTTGCTCCACTAAAAACATATGTCTTGCTATATGTGTGGGTCTGTACTTACTTCTACTGCTCTTTTTTATGACCAAGATTATCAGAATATAAAGGAAACTAGGAATGAACACAATTGGGAAATTCGTAGGGCTTAGAAAACCTTCGCTAAAAAGGCACGGTGCTCAAGGTGTGATGCGCATGCGCTGCGCAATGTCGTCAACGTGTTAATCAAGTGATGATAAATATATGCACTATTGGTGTTTTCCAATAAAAGATATGGACAGAAACGAGTCTGTGCGAAAATGTTGGGCGATTGTGTCCCGCGCTGTCTTCAATGTGTCAAACTATAAGGAAGATCTCGCTCCCTTTTTCTTTTTTCTTGCTGAACTTTCAAAGGCGAATTCATGAATAGCAAATAGGAAATACGATGTCTTAAAACCACTGCATAATCGACTACGGATTTCCCCTACTTCAATGTTTCATATTGCCAATAGTAAGTGAGTGTTACATACCTACAGCGATCACGCCTTACAACTTATTACGTGCTGTTTCCAGAACAAGACATGTTTTAAATCGAATTTACAATTTTTTTTGGAAAAGGCTGGCATATCTATCTCATTCCTTTACAAATTTTGTACGTACTGCAAGAAATTGGAACAATTCTGCCACTTGTCAAGAGCTTAGGTTGAAAATGAAAGAATTTCAAAAAAAAAATTGACGGTTGCTGCATGTGACGACGATGTACTGACTACGCTGTAAGTAGGATTACACCAGTAAAGCACGTTATAAAGAGTAGAGCTGGAAGAGCGAGTATAAGCAAGAGTGCAAGCTTCCATTCAGAAGAGTACTCCTGAAAAAGAAACGGCGCATGTTATTCTTCTACAAAACTAACGCGCAATGTCAAAAACAATAGAGCCATGCGAAAACTAACATTCGCGTTTATGAATTCGTACCGATCTTCTTCTTGTTCAGCCGCGAATTTCGTGAATTTGTAGAAAATCTTAAATGAATTCGTTTCTTTATTTCCCTATGAATGAATGATTGCGCTCGAAATCACATACTGTGAAACCGAGTGGATAGATCAGTACCCCATGAGGACAGTTTTTTATTGGAAGGATTGATTGCAAACCAGCTTCCATTTTTTCCTGTAGGACTGTGAAGGTGCAACGTCAAAGTTCCCCAACGTAGTGAGGGTACTGTATTGCGCTCCGGCTTGGAGTGCGTGCTTCGGAGAATCGACAGGAACCTTCCAAGAAAGATGTGGAAGGATTCAATAAGAGCATAAAGATCCTGGTGAAGATATCGGTGATAGAGTTCCAGCCTTCGAAAGTTGCTGTACCTCAAGCTAAAGGACGAATTTACGCTGGAAAGGCAACCCATTTCAAATTAAGTTAGGATGGTGAGTGGTACACGAAAGAAGGAAAAACCATGAGAAACGGCCCAGAACCCGAGAAATGGGACCCCTTCCTTGCCCGTTGATTTGAGCATTGATGCGACTCTCATCGCTGTGCCCTCTTCAACACTACGCTCTCTCACCTATCTAATCACTCGCCACGTATAGACCTGCGGCGAGTGATCAGATGATCGGTGGGCGTGCACTGACCACCGCGCCGGGATTGAACCTTAATAGGTCAACGAGGTCAACTCCTCCTGTGCAAATTGTGCTTCAGTTCGCACACTTAGGAGCTCCGCGGGTCCCTCAACCAGGTGAATTCTTCCTAATTCGATTTTCCCTCTGATCGCGAATTCGTCCTTTAAACTCAGCTACCAATCGTGACGAATTCTTAGGCAAGGGTTGGGCCTGTAGCGTTGCTTTGAGTGGACACGTTGCTAGTTCCACTGAGGAGCAGGGTCAACCGTCACGTTGGACCAATTTCGAAAATTTTACGACCCCCTCCCCCTTCTAGAGGGCCTCGATACGACCCCCCTCCCTCAGGGTCAACCCTTCACCACCCTCGCCTGCCATCGCCATCATGGGGCTCATTCTATTTCGATTCTGAGACCAGTCGACACAGCCCAAACTCCGCCCACTTTCTTCCTCCAAAATTGCCGTCGAGCAGGGAGGGGGTATACATATGTACATATATACCTACCACGAAACCTACGAACATCCTTTTACTTTCCCTCTATTTCACCCATATTTCCACTGCAATGTTTCTAAGCAGGGGGCATATACACACCAAATTTTAGCGCGCCAACCAACTGCATCATCACTTCCCTTACTGTAACATTAACGCTACCTCGCGAAATACGACCCCCTTTTTTCCACCCCAAATACGACCCCCCCCACCCCTCTTAAACAAAGTTCAATGGACGGTTGATCCTGCTGAGGAGAGTGCTCGTGACATAACGAGAAAACCATGCAATCTTACAGAGCTTACGTGAGAGCGATATGCATCCATTACTGATTTGACAATACGATCATCTGCATTCTTTTCGTCATTTTTTACCTAAATTTTTTTTGCTGTAATTGTTTCGTCGCCCATTAGAATTAAGCCCATTAGAATTAAGGTAGAGGTGGTTAGTGGCGCCGCATGAAGAATATACCCTGAGAATCGACCCAAATCCCAAGAAGTAGGACCCATTCCTTGCCTTTCAATTTACATTGATGCCACTCTCATCCATGCTTCCCTCTTCAACTAAAACGCTTTTTCTGATAAGTAGACAGAGCTCTACACCGAGGTGTGCTGCCGCGTCGATAATGGTGTGGGGACGGGTATGCTATGGGGGGTACATACTTCTCTGCAAAGTGCGTGTCGATTCACACAACATAACTACATGCAGTCCGCAATAAAATTGTTTTCGAATCTTCTTTGGCATCTAGAGAGTTTACCGGAAATGGACCATGGTTCTGCGTTTCTTGCACACCTCTTCTTGAAATTTCAAAAGAGAAATGAAATTAATTGTTCAGCTATAATTGAGCCATTCTATCATTTAACACAATTGGAATTCTTTTATTAGTCTTCTGACCAAAGGTTGCTCTTGGATATCAGTAGTGTTGTTTGTACATTTTTTGTCAGATTCCAGTGAAAGGCGTCGTTCACTCACCGTTTTTCCCGTGTCTTCAGACCAAGACCTAACGACAAAGGTATCCTCTCCCCGTGCTCAACAGTAGTGAAAGAGAATATCAAAGAGCTTACGTTATACCATTTCAGTAATTTAATATTCTACGGATAGGGACTCTAAAAGTGCTAAGCGAACTTTCTAAGAAAGTTGTGAGCCTTCAGAGTTGGCAGAGAACAGACGCCGTGTCATGAGAACAGCTAACCACAGGCGAGCTGGTAGCGGCGGCGCAGTGGTAGAGCTCTCGCTCCGCAGGCGGTTGGTCGTGGGCTTGCTCCCGACTGGGGAAAAAGTTTTTCACAGTGTTTTTTAAATCCAGTAAGGACCTATATTTCAATTTTCGACTCAAATTTTTTTTCTATTCCATTGGTAATGAGTAAAACTTCCATTTACGCTTGTTATCTACGCTCCTCGAAAGTGGGATAGCTTATCTATAAATTATTCTATTCTGCATATCGAGGGAACACGATAATAACTTCAAACAATTACAAATGGAGACCTCATTCAACACTGATGAAGCGACGCAAAAAAATGTGAGAAGCAGACGTGTTGTTCGCAAATCGCGCATCTTATTGATGCTGCCTCTACACAGCCATTGACCACACACATGTGAGATCAAATACGTAGTCACCAGGAGTAAAAACGCGCCTGGGTGTTGGGCTACATATCCTGCTTTGTATCACGAGTATTTCAAAAGACTGGAAAACCCATGGGCACAAAACATCCAATATATTGGGTTGGTGCATAATATCGTAGCGTTTTTTTGGGCGTATAAATTCAATCAGTACAAGAGAAACCCTAAAAATCGCCTATACCTTTTGAAAGTGCTTTTTTCGCTCTACAAAAATTACTTCGTCATTTCCCTCAAAATTATATTTGTACTCATACATAATGCTTAGAAGTTGGAAAATCCAGACGGCAGAAATCGGCATTTCGACAGCTGTTATTTTTCAGTTCACATAAAGAAAAAAATACCGTCAAAACAAAAGTTCTTCAGAATCCATTGTTCTTATCGAACCTCTCTCTAACCAACCCTACATATTTCACTCAAATTAAGACCGTATTCATGTCGTACAAATTGCGAAATAATGAGGAATTCGAGAACGAGCCCAACATCTTTTTCAATTCCAAATAATGAGGAATTCGAGAACGAGCCCAACATCTTTTTACAGTTCACATAAAGAAAAAAAATACCGTCAAAACAAAAGTTCTTCAGAATCCATTGTTCTTATCGAACCTCTCTCCAACCAACCCTACATATTTCACTCAAATTAAGACCGTATTCATGTACATTCGTACAAATTGCGAAATAATGAGGAATTCGAGAACGAGCCCAACATCTTTTTACAGTTCACATAAAGAAAAAAAATACCGTCAAAACAAAAGTTCTTCAGAATCCATTGTTCTTATCGAACCTCTCTCCAACCAACCCTACATATTTCACTCAAATTAAGACCGTATTCATGTACATTCGTACAAATTTGCGAAATAAGGAGGAATTCGAGAACGAGCCCAACATCTCTTTACAGTTCACATAAAGAAAAAAATGCCGTCAAAACAAAAGTTCTTCAGAATCCATTGTTCTTATCGAACCTCT